TGAATCCAATGGATTCAAATCCATCTATTATGAAAAGTATGGTTTAGATGGTCCCGCACAATCAAACTGAAATGAGGATGGATGGATGTATAGAACTGTTCTGATTGATTTCTGATGTCTGTCTCCCTCAAGCTGCGATCGACACGCTTGGCCGTTTCTCTTGCCAGTACCGTTCGATTGGAAAAATGCTCGGAATACAGACGACAGGCTTTGCAGCATTAGAATGTGCTCGTCCATAAAATGCATGCATCTCTGCATATTCGTTAAATATTAACTGTTAGACCATATCAACTAATTTCAAAATATCCTATGGAATATTGACAATACAATGACAACAAATGTTGAGTTTCATGAGATTCAGATAACAAAACACGAAACGAGGTTATTCCACAAGTACATACAAAATATGGACTGAATTCGATATTCGCGTAGCTTGTTAGTTGAAAAACACCACGAATCTACAGAACTTGATATTTCATTTGTATTCTCCCTGATGTTATGTGCATTAACGTTATCATAATTATTTCTACTGTGAAAATTTTTCATTTCAAATAATGGTAGACATCTCAGGTTGGATGTTGTCGAACAAAATTGCATTTTTATCAAAAACCGTTGCTCCGATGGATTTTCCACACGAGTATTTTCATTCATTAAGTCTAAGTAACCTGATTTTGTTGGAAAATATCTGTCATTTCAAAGTTTTGGGGTGTGGACCATCGGGGGTAGTCCGTTCCTGACTTTGCAGCAAAACAACTGACTCCTGCAGGAAAGCTCCAAAAGTTATACAATATATACCGATTCTACATTCAAAATTTTGTTCTTCGAAAATATAACGGTATGGAGAAACACTGATGAAAAGGTAACCTTATTTTATGAATGCACTTTCCCGTCCTTCTGGCTCCCCTGCTCCTCTTTTACCCCCACGTGGGGCGCCTCAGATGGAATATTTGAAAATCCTTTCTTAGTGCGCATCTAAGAATTATCTATATATAGTTCAAGTAAACGATATAGTGCAACCTACCTTCCAACAGCTCCCCTTCAACAATATAGTCAAGGAGCTAATTAATTTAGTTATTCAGTGCTCATTTCAGATTATATATTCTCTGAATATAATTATTCTGATCAGTCCCATATTGATTTCAATTTAAGAGCCACTGGTAGACAGCTGTTTCAGTCTATTGGGCATCGTCAGTACCGGGCAGGCGGTCCTCGATTAAAGACAAAATGTGAATAACCAATAAAAGTACTTGATAAAAATAACTGCGTAAACGCAAGTGAGACATAAGTGGAACCACCTATTGGTGTGACACCCAAGTCAGTTTGCCAAGTTTTTGTGTTACATTATTTATTACTGTTAACTAATAAAACAAAAAATCTTTTGTAAAATGCATTTTTCTGATTTTATAAAACAGTAAATATTTCATTATTATTACTTTTTATATTTCTTACTGATAGCGAGTAGTCCCTGTAGAAAATTATGATAATCGTGCCTTTCATGCAGTGATTCTGAAAAAGGTGAGGTTTGTGCAAATATTTTTCAAGCAACTCTGTAATTACGTTGTTCTCTAGTAATATATCGTATGTGTAAAATAAAAAACATTCATCTGTGACGTCTGTAAGCAATAATATATTCCTGATAAATTTGTTATACGAGATAGGAGTTTGTGAAAATGTTCGTTTAATCACGAAAAACCTGTGATAAGAAGACTAATTTATAATCTAAATATATGAAATAATATCGCATACTTCTGAAATTACTAAAAAAACTATGATATGATATAACTATGATATATTTGTTCATGGGGTATTGATAGATTGAATGAATTAGGTTCAAACTAAAGCTGATTAGATATTATTTTTCGAAGGAAAAATACTGTTCATCGAAATTTCGACCAGGCAAAGAACTTCAATAAACAATCTATGGGTGTTTATACAATTCTAGAAGTGTGAACGATTATCGTAGGAATGGCTTATCTCATACAAAACGGAAATGTCAGTAGTGCATTCCTCTGAAATGAGAACAGTGTGATCAAAACAAATCTTTTGAAGTTTATGTTTATCAAGCAGAAAGAATTTTGTTCTCAGTTCAAACTCAGTCGGTGAAAAAATATTATATAGCGGAATGAATATTCACTTATAGCGTCTTTCAAACTTTAGGCTTCCGTTAGATAAAATATTACGACAGTGGGATTTTTGCTGATGTCGGATTCGATGAAAACGTTATCACTATTATTATTCTAGTTATTACAGATTCACTTCTAAAATAAAAACGATTTCGAGAAGACAGTATTTCATCATTTATTTCCAACGGTTACGCGAGTAGCTTGTACTGTATCAAATTAGATGAATGAAAGTGTAGTGCCTACAAATACAGCTAAGGCAACAAAAGATTCCGCATGTGTCATCAATTTGTGCATCCGAAATAAATGGAAAAAGTAATGAAAACGAAAGCACGAACAATAGATAAAAAACTGATTTCAGATATTAAAATAAAAAACATTCATCTGTGACGTCTGTAAGCAATAATATATTCCTGATAAATTTGTTATACGAGATAGGAGTTTGTGAAAATGTTCGTTTTATCACGAAAAACCTGTGATAAGGAGACTAATTTATAATCTAAATATATGAAATAATATCGCACACTTCTGAAATTACTAAAAAACTATGATACGATATAACTATGATATGATATTTGTTCATGGGATATTGATAGATTGAATGAATTAGGTTCAAACTAAAGCTGATTAGATATTATTTTTCGAAGGAAAAATACTGTTCATCGGAATTTCGACCAGGCAAAGAACTTCAATAAACAATCTACGGGTGTTTATACAATTCTAGAAGTGTGAACGATTATCGTAGGAATGGCTTATCTCATACAAAACGGAAATGTCAGTAGTGCATTCCTCTGAAATGAGAACAGTGTGATCAAAACAAATCTTTTGAAGTTTATGTTTATCAAGCAGAAAGAATTTTGTTCTCAGTTCAAACTCAGTCGGTGAAAAAATATTATATAGCGGAATGAATATTCACTTATAGCGTCTTTCAAACTTTAGGCTTCCGTTAGATAAAATATTACGACAGTGGGATTTTTGCTGATGTCGGATTCGATGAAAACGTTATCACT